CCTGGGAGGGGGGTGGTTTCGGGCCCCCATGAGGGTGCGAGAAATGGGTAAATTTAGATCCTGAGTTGTTAAAGGAACAGCCGTAAAATCCGCGAAAGGGGAAGTCTGCCCAAAGCCGGCGCTCACTTCCTGTTTCTGCTACTGCCAGTGAAACTCTGTAAACCTGATGCCCGGCATCTACCCTGTTTATATACCCCAGTTCTGGGAGGGGAAGGGGGTCTACTGATTGTTGGGTGGGGCTGGGAGCCAGGACGCCTGGGTTCTCTCCTAGCTCTGATTGGGGCCCCGGGGGTGGGGTCTAGTGGTTAGAGAAAAGGACACAGATTAGAACCAGCCCCCTAGAGGTGAAAGGCCCCATGTCCCTTCCCCAGCCCATCGGGTTTGCGCAGCACAGGGCCCGGGACAGAGCTCACAGGGGTCAACGGCTGAGCCAAGTTCCCCCCTCCCTAAGCCCAGAACCTCCAGCGGCTGCTGCTCTGCCATGGTTGGGGAACCTCTAGTGACTCCTTCCCGGTCCCCTTGCAGGCTTCCCCTCTGCTGGGCCCAGGGCTGAGGGCAGAGCCTGGCTCTGAGCGTCCCACTGGGGCCAGGACCCACTGAGGGCCCAGCTGGGTGTGGGGCTGGGAGCGGGAACGGGCGGGTCCCACTTGGTGCTATATTGGCAGCTGTAGATCCCTGTGTCTCTCTAGCTCATGTTGAGGATGGGAAACTCAGCCACGTCCCCCACGTTAAGTCCATCGAGCGCCGTGCAGCCGGGTCTCCAACTTTACTCAGAAGGACCCTCGCTCCGTGACACCGACACTCACACCGGACGGTCACGGCTCTCCCACTGGGTGCAGGGAGATGCTGGGTTTGGGCTCTGCAGGCAGAAGGAGACAGGCTGGTCACTGCGTCCCATCCACACAGCCCGGCCCCAGTGACGAGTCTGATACAGGGGCCTGCAGGGAGAGTCTCCTGGATGCTTTTCCCCTGAATCCAAGACCGAGAGAGCTGGGCTACTGACACAAGAGACACGGGGTCCCCCACCCCTCAGCAGGGCAATGGTGCGGATCCATCTGCAAGGAGCCCGTGGAGGGGTGGCTGGGGCAGGACAAGGAGAGGCCGAGGGGACCTAGAGGCCAATTGCGTTTTATCTCCATCAGCTGGGGAAGGAGAATCAGAGTTTGCTGGTTTAGCAGGAACTGCTGTGCAGGGTCACACTGGAAACTATTGCTGACTTTGCCTGAATTAAAATTCTCCTTTGAACAATCTTCATTTAAATGACACAAGCACAGAAACAGTTTCCTTCCCTTGCCAAAGCTGTTTTCAAACTTTCCCTTGATTTTATAGAACTTTGTTTAACACAGAATTGTTCTGTATTGGCTTTATTATTATTATTATTTTGGTCTCTTCTGTTGCCTGATTGTGCACTTCCGGTTCCAGATGAGGTGTGTGGTTACCGGTCAGTTAGTAACTCTGAGCTTCTACTGAACCATCATCAGAATTAATTGTTCCCTGTCAAGTCAGTTTTACGTTCATGCAATCCCAGAATGTAGAGTTAGAAAGTAAAGTGAACTAGACCAGAACCCCACTGCTCTACGTTCCCTTCGCGGTTTCTCTGTTTTCAGCCTCTGTACGTCCCAACTTTGCAGGCAAATTTCTTAGGATGGTTCATTCTGTGACATCTTTGTTTGCTGTTCTGAGCAGAGTGACCAGATATCCCGATTTTATAGTGACCAGATGTCCCGATATTTCTGTTGCTGCACCTGAAAGTGCTGTGCGGTCCTGCAGACGTTTTGTCCGCACTATTTTCTTCACTTTCACTACAGCTCACTTCCTCCTCATTTCTCCAGCCTGTTTCTCTTTGCTCACAGCTGGTTTCTGTCACGTTTCATTCGTGCTTTACTTCTCCTGCAGCTTTCTAACAATTGCTTAGGTAACGTAGAGACTCTTTTTTCTTCGTGTTTCACTGCCTGGTTCTTCCTGTAACTTTCCCCCTCATGCCTCTGTCTTTCCTCTGTCTGCCTCCTCCTGTTCCTGTCATCTCTGTCCCTTCTCAACTGGACTGTCTCCCTGCCAGCTCTCTGCCTGGTGCCTAGGGTTACCATACGTCCGGATTTTCCCGGAGATGTCCAGCTTTTTGGGACTCAAATCCCCGTCCGGGGGTGTTGCGGAGTGTGGGGGAGTCAGGGCCCTGCACCCCTCTTCCCAAGATTCACTGCGACTCTCAACCAGCCA